CCACCCTGGTGACTCCCTGAGGCCCTGCCCACCCCGCCCAACTTTCAGGCCCACCCAAGCTGTTGACAGTTGCTTACCCATAGGATTGGCCTGTCTTGGATCCTGCTTCAGGTTTTTCCTAAATTCTTTCAAACGAGCAGCATCTGGTCTCAGCGAGCCCCATACTGCTCATTAAGTAATACACAGAAACAAACACAGGGAGGCAGCCAAAATGAGGAGACAAAGAAACAGATCGCAAATGAAAGAACAGAACAAAACCCCAAGAAAAGAACTAAACAAAATGGAGATAAGCAACCTAACAGATGCTGAGTTCAAAATACTGCTTATAAGGATACTCAATGAACTCAGTGAGAACCTCAGTGAACTTAGTGAGGGCATCAAGAGCATAAAAACGGACCAGTCACATTTGAAGGAGGCATTAACTGAAATAAAGAATAATTTACACAGTTTCAATACTAGAGTACGTAAATCCAAGAAGCAAACCATCGATTTGGAATATAAGGAAGCAAAAAACGCCCAATCAGAACAGCAAAAAGAAAAAAGAATCCAAAAAAATGAGGAGAGTGTAAGGAGCCTCTGGGACAACTTCAAGCGTGCCAACATTCGCATCTTGGGGGTGCCAGAAGGAGAAGAGAGAGAACAAGAAATCGAAAACCTGTTTGAAACAATAATGGCAGAAAACTTTCCTAACTTGGTGAAGGAAAAAGACATACAAGTCCAGGAAGCACAGAGAGTCCCAAACAAGATGTACCCCAAGAGGCCCACACCAAGACACATCATGATGAACAAAATGCAAAAGGTTCAAGACAAAGAGAGAATATTAAAAGCAGCAAGAGAAAGGCAGCTAGTTACCTACAAGGGAGTTTCCATAAGGATGTCAGCTGATTTCTCAAAAGAAACTTTGCAGGCCTGAAGGGAGTGTCAAGAAATATTCAGAGTGATGAAAACCAAGAACCTACAACCAAGATTACTCTATCCTGCAAAGCTGTCATTTAGAATCGATGGCCATATAAAGAGTTTCCCCAGACAAGAAAAAGTTAAAGGAGTTCATCACTACCAAACCGTTATTATATGAAATGATGAAGGGTCTTTTTGAAGAAAAATATAAAATACATGAACAAACAAAATGGCAATGAATACATATCTATCAACAATGGAATCTACAAACAAAATGAACAGGTAGATCAGAAACATTCTCATAGATACAGAGAACATTTTGTTGGTTGCCAGATGGGAGGGGGTTGGGAGAATGGGTGAAAAAGGTGAAGGGATTAAGAAGTACAAATTCATTGCTAGACTGACAAACCTCAAAGGGAAAGGGGTTGAGGGGGGGTGGGAAGAAATAAACCAAAGAACTTATATGCATAACCAATGGACACAGACAATAGTGTGGGAAAAGGCGGGAGGGGGGTGGGAGTGGGGAGGAGGGGGTCAATGGGGGAAAAATGTGGAACATCTGTAATACATTCTACATTCAACAAGATTTAAAAAATAAATAAATAAATAAATAAAAGTTTAAAAAAGTGAAAAAATAAAATAAAATTGTTGCAGCTGGTCTTATGGTTCCGTATATAGTCAACTTTTTGTATATGTTTCATGCGCACTTGAAAATAAGAAGTATTCCACAGTTGTTTGCTGAGTATTTTATGTGTTAATTAGGACTAATTGGTTCATAGTGTTCCTAAAATCTTCTATAATCTTATCGACTACCTATTTTCTTGTTCTATCAATTATTGAGAAATGAATGTTGAAATCACCAACTATAAAATAGTACGTGGATTTGTCTATTGCTCTCATTAATTTTATCAAATTTTTTCATTGAACACAAATGAAAATTTTTGTATTAAAAAATAAATATAAAAAACTATTCATCACATTTTTTCAATCATTCCATAGTGTTGGTTTAATGAATTTAAAAAATATAGAGGAAGACGATGGTGCTCCATTTCAAAACTACTTTCTAAACCACTACTTCTGGCTAGTACAAGAAATTTTTTTAAATGTTTCACAATTTGGAAGCATTTTAGATCGTGCTTCCCCATAATTGTTGTCAGTCTGGGCTCAAATAAACTCATAAAAATTCTCTAAAAAATTAAAAAATAAAACTTTTCACAATTTTAAATAATACAATTCAAATAATACTGAAGACAACAGATAAAAGTAGCTAAAGAAATGTCATAGAAATATGTTGAGAAGAGTTGATATAAAATATCAAAGGAAAAAAATGGAGCCCAGCCGGCATGGCTCAGTGGTTGAGCATCGACCCATGCACCAAGAGGTCACCGGTTTGATTCCCAGTCAGGGCACAGGCCCAGGTTGTGGGCCAAATCCACTGGTGGGGGTGCATGCAGGAGGTAGTTGGTTGATGTTATCTCTCATTGACGTTTCTATCTCTCTCCCTCTCTAAAATCAATAAAGAAAAATAATGTTTTTTAAAGGAATAAGAATGGAGATCCATGGTGGGCAGATAACAGAAAACAAGGAAAAGCGGTAACCATAAATCCAATGTGAACAAAATTGGCAATGGAATGGAATAAACTATTCTTGGTAGAAATCCTACCATACCTAAACAATTTCAGTAATTTTTGCAATTTCCTATACAGTAACAGGATTATAGAGTGAGAAATTGAATGCTCAGAATAATCAATGAGAAAATTAGTTTTACTAGGCCTCAATCCCTTCATCTGTAAAATGAATAAATGGACACATGGCTGCCTCCCAAGAGGCCAGATGTGTGGAAGTTAAGCTAGGTGAAGGGTACATGGAACTCCTGGTACTGTTTTTGCAGCTTCCTGAGATTTCGCAATTATTTCTAAATAAAAGTGTTTAAAAGTACAGACTGTGAAACCAGACCACAAGGGTTTGAATAGAGGCACAATTAATTATTGGCTATGTGACCTCAATCAAGTTATTTAACCTCTCTGGGCCTCACTTTCCTTATCTGTAAAATGAGGATAGTAACAGTATTTACCTCATAAAGTACTGTGTAAATTAAATAAGCTAACACATGTAAACCACCCACAACAGTGCTTATCACATAGTAGGCAGTCAATAGTCAGCCATTATTAATATTGCTATGATTTTATTTTTTAATCCTCATCTAAGGATATTTTCCTATTTATCTTCAGATAGAGTGGGAGGGAGGAAGGGAGGAAGAGAGAGAGAGAAACATCAATGTGAGAAAGACACCCACACGACCCCAACTGGTGCCGGGGACAAATTGCAACCAAGGTACGTACCCTTGGTCAGAATCGAACCCAGGACTCTTTGGTCCACAGGCTGACGCTCTAACTGCTGAGCCAAACTGGGCAGGGAGTTGTTATGATTTTTAATAATGTATTCTAAGATCACATTCAGCTCTAGAATTGTGTATAAACTATTTGGGCACATTTTTAGCTTGGACACCTGTCTTCTCTCCATAACGGAGAATTAAATGTCATATTTATATAGATAAACTTGTATTTATTCTTTCAAAAATGGATATAACACAAACAGCTTGTAGGAAAAACAGTCTTAGTTCACATTCTAGCCTGGCTTCCTGCTATATCCAGGTCATCTCTACTTACCAGGTGGAGAAACACACCTTATTTTAAAAGTTCTCAAGAACAACAGATTTCACATGCTTTCCAGCAATGCTTTCCAGGGCCTTGAAGATGTCAGGAAATTATTGTTGGCACAGTTTACACTTATTGCCTCTTGTCACCAGTGGATGTAGAAGATGTTTTAGAACTTTGCACTTGAAGACCCCTATTAGATCACTGTTTTTTCTTCTTTATTTTCCTTATACATACTATCTTCCAATTATTTATCTTCATTTCTACTTCCTAGAGTCATTGTAAGGATTACATCAGTTAGGACACATCAAAGCACCTAGCTCTGGACCTGGCTCATACTAAGCATCTAATGCATTTTTCTCTCTTTCTTAACCAATGACTAAACTAATTATCTCCACAAGAATGTGAGGCAGTTGAAACATTCTAATTAGAATCTCATAAAAAATGTACAGGAGGCAAGGTAACAAACCCAAAAGTATTTATCTTCCATTTGAAGTTTTCAATAAAGCAGTATTATGAAACCAGATCCTAATTGTTCTTTCATGCTCACCCTAGTTCATTTTTATCCAAATCCCAAATTCAGGTATTATGGTATCTTTTAAAGTTGAAATATTATAAACTAAACTAGTTCAAGAAATATGTACTATAAATAGATATCCCTTGGGAGAATATTTTGTTCTTAAAATTATTCCTAGCCTTACCTAAACCTTATTCAGTCACATTTCCACTTAAAATGTTTTTTGCTCTTCTTACAGTTACTGTAAATGTGCTCCTCCCTCCCTTTCAAAATGTGAAATCTTGTCCAAAGGGGGGGGGGGGGCAGATTTTATATCAAACACCTAAAGTAATAATGCAACACGGTAGACTATAACTGTGGAAGAAAAGTAATTCAATAAAAATAGTATCTTATTACTTCAGTTTGCCACTCTGTCTCTTTTCTAATGATTTTTAAAGCCAGAACAGTCTGCATGCTTCACACAATATCAATGCTTTCAGCTGAATTTTCTCCTCCTATTCTTAAGATTCTATTCTGAAAGTGACAAAACATAAATGGGATAAATACCAAAACTTGATTCTTTTAGATAACTACTACTTGAAGAGTAGTTAAGAAATATCCTGTGTTCACTTTCCGCCTTCCTTGCCTCATGAAGAACTTGGCTTTTTGTCATAATCAAATGCTATGAGAGAATGTTAAATGAACTCTTTGATTTGCACCACAGTTTATCCTCAAATGCTACTACATTTTTGAGAATTTTTTTTCTTTAGTTCTTCAGTGAAAACAAGTTAAAGCAGCAGGAATTCCTAACACAAAGTTGCAAAACTTAACTTCTCATAAAGATTGCCTGTAAACTCAATACAGGCAATGAACAATGAGGTTATTATTGTTTCTCTTTTATAAGAGAAAAATGCTTTTTTAAACAAAATCTTAACTAGAGAGATGTTTACCTTAAAGAAATACTGTATTCAGGGTAGAAGACACTTGTATATTGGACCCATGCACCAAATTCCTCTTCAGTTTCCCTTTTGTTAGCTTCTGTTACTGAAAACAGATTAAATGATTCAAATCTTCTTACAGATACATGCCGTAGACACTCATCCAGGTGTTTTTGCTTCAGAACCTTGAAAATAAAACCAAATATTGTGGTCATATTATATAAACATAAATTAAGTGTTCAAAGTTTAAGTGGTAAGGGGAATTTCATTTCCAATAATGGACAATTAGAAAATTCAGAGCAACTTTTTCCTGAAGACAGATAGAAAACTGGAAAAAAAATATCAGAACCAAGCAAGAAAATATCTGTTTAAAATGTATATATTATGTGGAAGGTTTAGATGGTGGATTTTTTTTCTTTTCAATGGAAGTTCAGAAAAGGGTACCTCTCTCTAATTTGGTTAAAGATTTCTTCTTTTTAATTTTTTTAAGGATAAATTGGCCCTGGCAGGTGTTGCTAAGTGGTTAGAGCGTGGCCTAAGAGTTGTGGGTTCAATTCCCAGTCAGGGTGTGTCTCTCTAACATCAGTGTTTCTTTCTCTCTCTCTCTATCTCTATCTCCCACCCTCCCTTCCACCCTCTCTAAAAAAAAAAAAAGACCGGCCCTGGCCGGTTTGGCTCAGCGGTTAGAGCGTCGGCCTGTGGTCCTGAGAGACCCGGGTTCGGTTCCCGCTAAGGGCATGTACCTCGGTTGCAGTTTGTCCCGGCTCTGGTCAGTCGTGCGGGTGGCAGCCACTCGATGTGTCCCTTTTACATCGATGTTTCTCTCTCTCTCTGTTCCTCTCTCTCCCTCCCACTCTACCTGAACAAAAAAAAATGGAAAAAAAAAAAGATCGGTGGAAAAAATATCCTCGGTGAGGATTAACAAAATAAATAAATAAACAAAAATTAAAAAGGATGAATTGGCCCGACCGGTATGGCTCAGTAGTTGAACATCAACCCATGCATCAAGAGGTTGCCAGTTCAGTTCCCAGTCAGGGCACATGCCAAGGTTGTGGGCCCGGTCCCCAGTGGGGGACATGCAGGAGGTGGCCAGTCGATGTTCTCTCTCATGGATGGCTCTCTCTCTCTATCTCTTCCTCTCTCTCTCTCTCTAATATCAATAAAGAAAAAAAACTTTTTTTAAAAAGGATGAATTGTTTTTAAATGGAAGATTAGGAAAGGTTACCTCTCTTTAATTTGGTTAAACGTTTCATTTTTTTTAAGAAAAAGGATGAAAGGCTCTTATTATTATCTATCAATCATGGTTATCAGGAAGAAAAGCAAACCACTCAACAGAGCTTACTCTAAAGAAAAAAACAAAGTAATTAAATTTTAAAAATTAAAATGTGAATACATATTATAAAATATCTTGGATCTTGTCCAATTAACGTACAAAAAACAAATGCTTTTTTATATTAATTAAATTACTTTGATGTCAAACCATTATTAAACCATAAACCATTAAGGTAAAAAATTATTTAGGTCACCACATGTATTATACTGGAAGGACTTTTATAGTTTAGTAAATCCCATGGATATACAATATGACAACAAGGTGATACTCAATGAAAGAAACAGGCAATATTTTTAGAATAAATATAAAAGGAAATATTTATTTATGTAATTTATATTCAGTAAAAATAATTACAATAGAAATCAAGCCAAATTATTTCTGATGTTTCTTTTTAAAGATTCAGTTATTTTATTTTATTTTTTAAATATGTTTTCATTGATATTTTTAGAGAGAAAGGAAGGGAGAGAGAGAGAGAAACACTGATGTGAGAAAGAAACATTAACCAGCATCCTCCTGCATGCCCCTGACTGGGGATCAAGCCCACAACCCGGGCATGTGCCCTGACCAGGAATCGAACCAGGACCTCTCAGTCCATGAGAGACACTCAAACCACTGACCACACCTGCCAGGCAAGATTCAGTTATTCTAAAGCTACTGATATTTGGAGCTTTGTAAACTGGGAGGATATTTGGATCTCCCACCTATCACTTTTATAGTATCTCTTTCCAACCCCCTATGTATATTATTAAATAATATTCTGATGGAATTATCTGGGATGAAATACAATGCTCAAAGTCAAGGCATCTTCTCATTCCTCTAAATGAGCTGGTAAATCAAAGATAAATGTTATATTAAATAAGTTCATGTCAAAATATTAAATATATGAAGGGGTGGGGGGAAGGGCATTGAGTCCTAAGCCCATCAGGTTAAAAATGTATGCAACTAAACATGGAAGTTTAAAACCAACTATTAACCTACAATGTCCACTTACTAAGAACTAAACTGAACATAACTAATTAGGTAGTAGCCCTAATATTCTACCAAAAGCAGTGTTACTCAGAAAATGAGCAAGGACACTATAGTAGGAGAACCTGTCCCTCAACAGTTACACAAGTGTGTGCACCTTTATAATCGTTTGAGCTCAGTAGCTTCCATTTTAAGACAAGAATAATAATGCCTGCTTTGCAGCTTCTAAGACAGTGCCTGACACACAAGAGCTATAGACTGAGTGCAAGGCTATTGTGAAAATTAAATAAGACAACAAATGCAACATGGAAAGTGTCTAGCTTAGAGTAAGTAGTCAATAAACAGTAAATTAACTTTTGGTTAAACAAGGCAGACAGAACACACACAGTTATCTCCCATCCCTCCCAAAACCTTCTGAAATACCAGTCAACTCATACAAACAACAAAAATCCAAAAGGACAAAGAGATTGGGAGTAGAAATGATGCATGATAATTAATTTGGCAGATTAGAGAAAATGAAATCTAAGTGCCAGCAGTGGGGAAACCAAGAAAAATCTAAATCCTACCACACACACTCAAGAAAGAATCGGTTATTAAAGGTACTAATGAAAGCCAAGACATAACAGTCAGGATAGAGGAATAAGGCTAAACACAGAAGTATTGGTTGAGAATCTTTTTTTTTTTTTTATTAGCTAGATCCCTGAATCCATCAGCAATACCAAGCAACTACCCTGCCTCCTCACAGTGGAATTCTGAAAAGTAAATTTCTAGAGAAGATGTAACTTTCTTAAACATCAAGCACAAATTACAATGGTGTAAGATGCTCTTCAGTCTGATCAATATCCATTTCCCTCACTTTGCATCTAGATCACAGACAGCCAGTCTTATATATGTCAGAAAGGGGACTGCAGGATTCCTAGGGATAATGGACCAAGAGAAAAGACCTATAGGCACTGACATTTGGGATCTCCCAATAAAATGGCCAATTCCTGCAGACATCACCCTATGGTGAGGAGGGCTTATAAATTCAATCAGGATGGTCTGAAACCAATAGGGTGCTTAATTCTGGGGCCCATAAGGAATAATAATCCCCCTCTGAGAGTCACGGAGCCCAGAAGAGTAAAGCAGGTGAGCACAAAACAAAAGTTGATAGATAAATATAAACCCCAAGATTAGGACTTTATCCAGAGATTTTATAAAGAAGTAAGAGGAATTAGCTCTATCCAGGTCTAAAGATAGAGGACAGATAAAGAAGAATCAAACAATGCCAGAAGAGAAAGCATCTAGCATTCTATATTTCTTCAACCAAGAAAGAAAAACAGCTAACATTTTTGTCAAGAAAAAGGGCTCACCATCCAAGCTAAAACAGAAAAATCCCAATGAGAATGCAATGTAACCAAGAAGAGTTATAACAATGATAATAATAGCTACTATGTATTTTGAGTCTATCAAGTGGCAGATTCTGAGCTAAGAATTTTACAATAACTAATCTTCCAAAGTATGTTATTGCTCCCACTCAGTAAACGAGGAAGAAACTGAGGCTTAGAAACTAAAAAGTTGCATAAATTCCTACAACTCACAAGAAACTTACTTATGCCACCTTAAATCCTTCTATGTTGCCCAAGGACTTAAAGTGGCTTAGAGAGATGCACCATGTACGAAAGCGTTGCTGGTTCAATTCCCAGTGAGGGCACATGCCCAGTTGTGGGCTCGATCCCCGGTGGGGGGCATGCAGGAGATAGCTTATCGATGTTCCCCTCTCAAATCGACGTTTTTCTCTCTCTCTCTCCTTCTCCCTTCCTCTCTCTCTAAAAATCAATTAAAATATTTAAAAAATAACAATACAGTAAGATGTCATTCATTAAAGATGGATGAGAAAGAAAAAGGGAAAATAAGGGTAGGAATATAAAACAAAGCTAAGAATTAAGAAGAAACAAAAGTACATTCCATAAAGAGCTAAACACATGATACAGAACAATGAAGAACACACAATAAGTGGTAGATGTAAGACTGGAATTCAGGTATGTCTGATGCCTATGCTGTCTTTTCCACTGTGCCAGAGCACTGCTTATTCTATAATTCTGCAGTAATGCCTAAAGTGAGTTCAAAACACTAATTCATTTTCCTTATTCCACTCACCATTTCAGTAATAAATTACTTGAGAAAATTAATTCTATAAAGAAAGAAACAAAAAGGCAAGCAGTTTTAGAAAGGCACTCAGATAAGTTCAGAGGAAGAGGTAAAAGGCAAAAGATTTATGCAATTTGAAGAGAACCCAGAGAAAGAAGGTTATATACCTTATAAATAAAGTTTGGGGTCTGCACTAGAACCATGAGATCATGAAAGTATCTTCAAAGAGCAGCAGCTTTTTTTGTTTGTTTGTTTGTTTTGGGCTTTTTTGTTTTTGTTTTTTATCCTCACCCAAGGACATTTTTTCACCCAAGTGTTTTTTGTTTAGATAGAGTGGGAAGGAGAGAGAGGAAGAGAGAAAGAGAAACATTGAAGTGAAAGGGACACATCGAGTGGTTGCCACCCGCAGGACCCAACCAGGGCCGGGGACAAACTGCAACTGAGGTACATGCCCTTAGCGGGAACCGAACCCGGGGGGTCTCTGAACCACAGGCCGACGAAGAGCAGCTTCTTAAAATGGCAAAAACTACAGGTGAAAAGCTATATTGAATACGTTCTACCAGGAATTTAGAAGGAACAAGGCAATAGTAAATGAAAACCAGGTAGACAAAATTAAAAATATGAGGTTAATTGAAAGCTCCAGAAAAGAGAATGGGGGGAAAAAAATGTTCTCACCACACACAGAAACACACACATATAAAAGGTGATGGATGTGTTAAACTTATTTGGGTGGGTGGGTAGGGGAGTCTTTCACAA